AATAAATTCAGCTACAACTAAGTATTACTTAATTCTTTATGCTAACTCAGTAAAATTAAAGGCCGGTTCAATATCTAGCGAGTTCGATCCTCATCCTAGACACATAATATTACGAATATGAAAAAGTTTCGAAAGAGAGGTGACTAATAAAGAAATTCGTGGTAGATTAATGTGGTAAAACGCCAAATGATTGTTGTCTAGGTACGTTAAGGTTGATATACTTCAAACAACCGAAAATCGTGCCAAATCAGTACATCGTCCTGCACTTGTCCATTTAAATAATAAATTATATCGAACCAAATTTTCTAGACATTTAACAGTGAACTGAAAGAAATGCAATGAATAAAATATTTTGTGGGAATTTATCCAGGTACGATAAATGTTAGAGAGTATAAGATAATGTTTACATCATTATAGTTTTATGAATTGACATCTGGATATCTGAAAATAGAATGAGGAATAACCAGGGACTGTTTCCAAACGAAACAACATAGTGCATGAACAACTGTTAAAAGCTACTGTCGGGGAATTTATGGCTGGCGTTTTATATACTCTGATAGGTGCTCTAGCAACATGAAACCTTTGAGAAAGTTAAGTGAAATTCATAAATGAAACCCCAATTAGATGTTTTTCAAAATTCTAGTTTTTCATTTCTAATTCTTTAGTCTTACGGGCCTTGGACTTATTTTATAAAAGTTGAATTATTACTCTGTGGTTGTCCATTTGTTAAAGACGTGTATTTTTGTGTCACTATGTACATTAATCGTCTGACCATTTAGTATCGTTGGATTTTTATGAGGAATTTCCCTAAACAAAATAGTTTTCCATGAGACGTGTTATTAGGTATAAAACTGCTCACTATTTATATTTTCTGCCAGAATAGAGTCCGATAAGGTGCTTAACCGAAAGATTACGTCTCAGATATAAATAACCCTTTACGGAAAAAGTTTAATGTTTATGTCCATTGTACATTATAAATTATGTTTTGTATAAATACCAGTTAAGTATTTTGTAATGTCCAGTGTTGATGTACAAGAGTTGAGTTTTTTGTTGTGATAGGTTAGATACATTTTTAGGTTAGGTTTTAGGTGTGCTGTAATTAAACAAATTTAGTAGTGAGATTAACACTTTATATCAACACTTCATTAGTCCCAAGCAAAATATGCAAAATCTATCAATCCTTAACGCTTGGTTCAAAAAAATGTCTCATGACTTCAATAAATTGTACATTATGTTAAATAAAAAAAAAAAATAATGATTTACCCTCTTTATAAAGTGTTATACTAAATGAAATATGAAATACCTGACCTAGCTGATGATCCAAGTTTTCATTAGGCAAACAATGTCCTAGAACCTAAGGTTTTATTTAAAATAAAATATGAATTCATGCTGCTAATACTCTTCATCGCCACTATGGTTGTGTTTATAATAACTCGTGACAATTACAGTAATGAATTAGTAATAAGCCACAACAACATGATATTTCACTTGAAAATGAAACTACCCAATACGAAACATCTTAGCAACACAGATTATAAAATTAATTAGTTGAAATTAATTTATCATAATGTTACATATAGGTCACAAAGAACAAGAAAAACTAGGTTTTCTTATTAATATATTCTAGGCACAAATACAACTAATTATATGCATTTTCTCGTGGTCTAATCACACAATGTTGCAAACAAAAGGTGTTGTAAGTGTTACGTGTTACACGCCTCTAACACGACTGACGACCTAGATGTCTGCAGACTGCACTTCTGGCGCGAAAGCGTGCGGAACTTTGCCGCCAGAACTGCAGATGCGCGCGTCCTCACGCGTGACGGGGATGTTATGACAAACTTCCTTCCCGCCTTCCCGCCAGCTGCAGTCAGTGTCATAACAAACCTGTACCTGCTCCAGGAAACTATTAATACACACGAGATATCACCAAGGTACAAGAATACGGTTAGTAGAAATTTAGGACTTCGTCCTAAATTAGCCTCAGTCCAGTGGGATTTCAGCTCACTGGATTGGAACGTCACGAAGAAGAAGAAGAAGTTTGAATGTAGGAAATTACATTTTTTCGTAAAATATTTAGCCTACAGGAAGTATTGATCGCAAAAATACCTAAAAAAAGATATGTTGTAAAATATTTTGGTAGAAATAGATTAATTTGAAGAACGGCAAAACACTGAAATTAATATTCTGGTCCCTAGTAGTAGTAAATCACATTATCGTGACATAGAACGATCGAGTATGTGTGTGAGTGTGTGTTTGTGTATGACTGCGTGTGCGTGACTAGTAGAGATCGATTCAAGTCTGACCCACAAATGGCCAACAGCAGACCAAAGCTTTCTCCATCCTGTCAATTAATTATTGTTTGAACAATACTGGCCAATTAGGCCTACTTAAATAATACACCAATGAGCTTTTGTCGTTGGAAACACGAGTGTTGATATAAACTACTATCTATATATATAGTGCAAAGTACCCATGAACTTTTGAGAAAACTACAAGTCACACCCCCGTAAACTATATACTTAAAATGTTCGTCATTAAGAGAAACCTGCGCAAAACTATCCATTATTTCATAAATTGCCATTTAAGGTCCCAATTCCTTTCTAAAGGGAACTTTTATATACCTAATGTTAAAAATACCTCAGCTGTACTTATTTGTTTGTATAACTGCATTTTGTTTCGTTTATTTCACCTTAACTTAACCAATCAATAATTTTATAAACTTATATTATCAATAATTTTTAATACTTATGAAGTCAAACGGGGTTAAGCCCGTGGGTAACAGCTAGTTTTATTAGTATTTATACTTTGAAATGTAAACGTTGTTAAGGAAATCCCTCTAATTAAATGATTAGTAATGAAGATAAATTTGAGATAATCAAAACTTAATCACATTACGTACAATTAAAGATTTACAAGTTTCTTTACGTACAGTTTAAAAATGGCAGCCTTGTAGCGTTCAAATTAGATAGAGTTGAATGAAATTTGAAAATGAAAATCGTTAAAAAACTGCAAAAGCTAGAACGTAAATATGCATAGGTACATCTTCATTGTCACTCTTCAAACCATGATAAGTTTCTTGTTTTCAAAATGAAGTTAAGGTTGGAAATAGTAAAACTCACTCAGGCAGACAATTATGAGCTTTTACCACACATTTAAATTATAAAATATTTTATGACGCAAGAAACAAATACATAAAAGGTGATTAGAGAGTTCCGGAAAACCTTGCATTACTCAGTTATTTTTCAACTTAGTTTCAGTATTGGAGAACCAAGTGCAATAAATTAGGTTAAACATATTATGACCAATGTAAAATTTTGTAAAATTAGTTTTGAAAATGCTACAGTAATGTAATTTGCCTTCTCTTTTATTCGATTCGTCCATGTAAATTTATTAAGTGACAAGTATCTAAAATAAAGGTAAATATTATATTATAGTAATATTACAGTACTAGGAAGTTTCTTCCTATTCCTGTCAAAACTCTGCATGGTGATAAATAACAAGTGCAGTCTTCAACAAAGTTTTGCAACAGAAAACTTTGTTTCTGAACTTTAACCAAGTGATACGTCTTGTGTTTCGTTCAAATTATCAGAAAGAATCGCATGAGTTCCTTTTTTGAGGTTAACATAACACGTTAACATATCGGTTACAATGTGTAAACTTTGTGTTTATCCACAACGATCATTAAAAACTATTTGGCTATCAAGTTAAACAGTTATTCACCAGTTTTGAAATATTATGGGAATAGTATTGAATAGGGAAATATGTAGTAAATTTTTTAAGAACTGGCTCAATAATTGATAGTTACAAGCTGTTACAGTAGTAGAGATTGAAAAACAAATGATTTATACTAAATATGATGACAAATCTTATAAGTTAAATTTCTAACATAATGGAGATACACTATTACTAAAGAAAAACGAGTATTTTATTGCAATACTTTTTCAGTATTTTTATGTTGACAGTCTTTAGAAACGAGTTATCCTCCTTTGCAAACAAAAGTTACAATTTGTATGCCAAAGTTATTGTACAGTTAGGGACAGTTCTGAGCCATTATCACCAGCTGTCGTAGCAGTTCAACGTTATTTGGACAATAATGCTAAATATACTGTGTTTATTTTATTTAAGGATTGTTATTAGAAAATTTTATTTTCTTAATCGTGGAACTGATAAATCTATATAACTATACAACAACAAACATATGCCTTATGCATTGGTCATTTCAACTGCTAAATATTTCGTCCTAATTTGTTTATGTTAAATAACATAATGGGGAATAAACATAGTTTTCTACGATTCGACAATTAACGTATTTAATGCTATTCAGCAAAATCCTATCAGCTAGTAAATAATTTTTAATTTGTGGTAAGGCAGTGCACTAAATATTTGATTAATTGATTAAAAAATTCATTTTTAAGATTAAATAATAATCTTACCTTTCAATTCATAGGAGAAAATGAATTTTTTTGTCAATAAGAAATTAAGAGACACAAAAATGTGGTAAGTGTACAACTACAAACGGTACTGTACGATCACCTTACAAGTTAATGTAAATATAGCAAGCAAGTAAGCCAATTTGTAAATGTATGTACTCTCAAAAGTTAACTATCTTTTGTATGAATTTTGTATTGTATGAAAATGTTGCTTTCTAAAGAAATGGTTTAAAGTAACGAAGCTACACAAGGCGTCTATTAACTATACCCATCATTTATATTTGGATTAAGTCCCCTCGTCCTATTTGATAATAATGTTAATAGTAGAACTGTACAATGTCTACTTTTAAGGTGTTAAAGATTTAACAAGCTGCACTTGGCCACATGCAGTGGCGAGTAGCACGGATGTAGAGTCGTTGACTCGCTGTCGTAATCGCAGCATAACACTACCAGAGTAATTAAACACCTTACATCACCTGAGGATGTAGCAGTCACACACGCCAGCGAGATGGAAGTATATAGACCGTCCAGGATAATCGGGTACCAGAGTGCCTGAGGACATCCACGATGAAGGTACTGTTCTGTGTGGTGCTACTGGCAGCGCTGGCAGCGGGGGAGGAGAAGACGGATGAGAAGTCTGTAGGTAAAGAAGATAAGATAGAAGACAAGAAGCAGCCGGAGAAGAGAGGACTGTACGACTTCGGAGGAAGCTACGGAGGCTACAGCCACGGAGATCACCACGTCAAGACGATCACCATCACCAAAGAAGTACCTGTGCCTTACCCGGTCACCGTCGAGAAGAAAGTTCCGTACCCCGTTAAAGTCCCGGTGGATAGACCCTACCCCGTTCACATCCCAAAACCTTACCCCGTCACTGTCGAGAAGCGCGTACCCTACCCTGTCAAGGAGTACGTCCCTCAACCTTACCCGGTCTACAAGAAAGTTCCGGTTCCTGTTAAAGTTCCAGTTGACCGACCTTACCCCGTGCATGTCCCAAAGCCTTACCCCGTGGTCGTGGAGAAAAAGGTTCCCTACCCGGTGGAGAAGCATGTCCCGTACCCTGTGAAGGTCCCGGTTGACCGTCCGTACCCGGTGCATGTCCCGGTGATCAAGCACGTGCCTTACCCCGTGGAGAAGAAGGTGCCTTACCCCGTCAAAGTACCTGTGGAGAAGCCTTATCCCGTGCCTGTGCCCAAGCCTTACCCCGTCATCGTCGAGAAGAAGGTACCCGTGCCTGTAGAGAAGCCCGTGCCTTACCCAGTCAAGGTGCCTGTCTACGTCCACGAGCCCAAGCATGAGAGTTTCAGTCACCACGAATCCTCTGGACATGAAGAACACTACTGAGCCCACGTTGTATGTATAAACAATAAATTATTTATTTATAACCAGTTTTTCTTATTTTTACATTTTTTACAGAAAATTATTTGGAAACCCATTTTAAAACGTTGAAATAAGAGATATACAAAATAGTAATTACAAAATTCAATACAAATTTTTATGGACTCTTTAAATTTAATATTAACAAATTTTAACACATGTTCATACTAATACTAAACTTATTAAAACCATCAAGTCACTTTCAATTGAAGTAAAAGAGCTTTTTGAAAATACTTTTACTAGCACTTGTTTGTAAAAAGGTGAATTTGCTTTCAAAATTTGGCGTTAAAAATATAAAGTTAATTCTGTAAATAACGTTTTCTAGCAAGTATAGACAAAGTTTTCAACTACTGTAATATTTGTAATCACCATAAAGTATAGTAAGTTAAAAGAAATAGTAACAAATTTAAGTATGTGAATTCTAATAACTTTTGTATAGATAGGCAATTTTACGAATTAGATAACAACAAAACAAATTAAATAAACTATATAGTTCTTACGAAAAATAGACAAATATACGTGAAAAAATTCCAGAAATTCATCAACAAAGAAAATGCTATCCCTACCAGTTTTCACGACATTCTCAGAACAAATAAGTATTTATTTAATTTCAAAAACAAATGTGTATAATAATTGCAAATCACAGGCAGTTTTATAAATGTTCAAACGTTTGTCCAATTAAAGTAGTCCATTTTTGTCTATTGATTTAATGAAAACTTTGTAGGCAAAAAGCCAATAGAGGTGTAACGGAGGCAAAATAAAGGCAAGATGCCAGCTCATAATGTGCCATGCTGTCAGAAGTGACAGCGCTTCTCGGCTCGTTCACAAATTAAATTTAGAATTGCCCAAAATCTAAAAGGAGTTTCTACAGGAGTAGGCTGTTAAACAATTTTGACTCACTAATTTTGCACGGTAAAATAATTTACAACATGTCCTCAAACAGAATGTATCTCCAATCCATTGTACATACAAGTGTATTTGGGTTTTATAAATATTTTACCATAAATACTGAATCATTAAAGTAAATTTGCTACTTGGTTAGCTCGCTGAAATGCAGTTTCAGTCAAAATGTGAAATTTGTATAAAACTTTGAATTATATCCGCATTATAAGGAAAGAGAGCCATTAAATCAGGATTTCTTTGCTGAAATGTTTTCCTTTAGAATGCATTTGCAAAAGTTTGGACCGAGTTTATTATGAAATATTTATATGTAAATTGGTAGTCTAAGAAATAAACACTTAAAACCTATGAGAATTTTGCTTTGATGAAAAACGATCTTAAGATTGTCAATAGTCCACAGTACAAACAATACAAACAATTTGGGCATTTAATATTATGATTGCATTTCATTTTGTTTTGTAAAAAAAAGGATTATGACTTATCGATACGGCCTATGTCCAGGACTTAATTTGTTCCTTTATTCCTTTCCAAAATCACTCATTGTCTTCAGAAACAATGTTAGATCTAAGACAATTATTCGAATTCCCTCAACGTTTCATTCAGAGACAGCTGAGATATATATGATTTAATACTACATACTGTTTATTTGAATTATCATGGATATGCAAAACTTAACATGTTTGGAAAAAAATTCAATAGCTTTTGGACATATTACTTGTCCAACAAGTCTCTACATACTACTTGTCTAACAACTTCACAAAATACCAATATTCGTCATGTCATACTTCATAGGCTATTGCACTGCTGCTGAAAATTATAAATTAATGAGAAACCCAAAGTCAAACGAAATCAGCTGACTCAGCAGTTAAACTCAAAATCAGCTGACTCAGCAGTTAAACTCAAAATCAGCTGACTCAGCAGTTAAACTCAAAATCAGCTGACTCAGCAGTTAAACTCACGACGTGCCTCCAAAATACACACGCAACAGTCAAATATTCAAGTCCAACGTCAAACTGTGTTTGTGTGCGTAATAAGGTCACATAATTAACGTTTAGCAGTTTACTTACGACCAGTCAGGTAAAATAAGTTGCGGACTTATTTTAGGTATATGAAAAATTTGCATAGCTGTGTGTTGTAACAGTTTAATTTTTTTCGACGTTACAGTAATTCTGACATAAAGTACGATTGTGAAAAAATAATCGTTGTTTAATCAAAATAAATTAGTTTTTACTTTTCTGACTTGAGAATTCCCAACCATACTTTTTGAATAAAATATATTTTACAGATCGTGTTGACTTCGTCTTACTGGTGGTTCTATAATAATTTCCTAATATACTTATCTATTTAATATAACCATATACTTATCTATTTAATATAACCAATTTGTACTCGTTATACAGTAATTTGAAGGTAAATATTGGCTACTTAAACCTTCACTATTATATCATATTTCATGTGGAAATGTTGGTTTATTTTAATATTTACTATAATACTTCACCTAGGCATTTCGCTGGCAAATATTAAGCATTTAATATTAAGTCTTTTTACTTAGATATTAGCAAAAATACTGCAACCATCGCCAGAATCGAAGTTTTTGTTAATTTATTTACCTTCATTCTCACATTTGTTTTTTATATAAGCAAGCTTTTTTCTTTAAAACTTTTTCCAGCTCGTGTGCATCTCGGAGAAAATCTATGCATACTATTGGGAAGATATTTTCCTGTAGATGTGCAGGATCCCTTCATAAATTAAAATAAGCTCAAAAATATGCACAAAAAATGAACTTAAAATAAAATACATGGACTTTATGGGTTGCCTGGTGATGAAGTAACAACGCAATATAAACAGAGAAAAAAAAAATGGAAGAAATTCCATTTACATGTTTTATTTACAGCGTAGAGTGAAAATAGAAAAGTCTGTACATTACATATTTTTGGTCGAGTTTCCGACCACTGGACAACCTCTAGTATACAGTTATTTCACACTAATAATATTTGTTTACAATTATTCAGTAAATGTTCCTCTTTTATGGTAATAGGGTATAAATATACCAACAAATCTAATACGTTTCCATAAAAAACCAACGCGTATTGAAGTACCAACCATGTAAACATTCTACATTAAATAAAATGTATATCATAAAACATAAAAACAAACTGAAACAATAAAGATAGTCACACACGAATGACCAAATAACACAATACAATAACACGACTTGCAGTGTTTCACACACGGTAGTTATTCAATTTCCGTGTGGTCAGTCTGGAGAACGATGGAGATTACATCAGCTGTTACCACTAAGTGAGAGGAAACAGACTGTAAAGACACTGGAAATTACAGCCCAACGCTACGACACGCAAACTTGTTGAAACTTGTAATACGAGCAATCAAAGAAGCAATGTATTCATGTAGGTGTTGAATAGATGGAATGACCTCTTTGATTAAACATTCTATGACTATATTGGGTAAAATGTGTTAGGTCACATCAATTCCTGCAAGTGAAGTTGGTCAGGTAAGAATAGAACAGTAACTTTATTTTTATCAGTAAATAAATTAATTTCCCTATTCCATAAGCATATACCAATAGATGGCTACCATAGTCCTAAACGGATAGCCAATCGTAAATAAATATTGCAGATCTGTAATAGATTTGTTTATTTTTAAAACATATTATAATTACAATAGAAATTGAAATTTATTTAATGAAGAACGTCGAGTTCATTTTTTTTAAACTAATTTGTTGACAGTTATTTATATTTCTTACTTGACACTTAATGTTTAAACGGTCCTTCCAAGGCTGTTTCAGTGATCAGAAAGAATTTACTGCCCCACGATAAATTTTCGGGAAAATTTTGCCGAACGGCAATTCTAAAGCCTAATTTAGACCATACTTAACTGAATTGCATACAACCAAAATATCGTTATCGCTATACTGGAGTAGCTAGTATAATATTTCGTACCTGGGGCCGAAAATTAGGTTGTGCCGACTCGAGATAGTTTTAATCGAGACGAAGTCAAGAAATTAAAAACGAACGAGAGCTGCAAAACCATTTCGGTCCGTGGTACGAACGCTATTTTTCACAATAAAACGATTCTATTGCAATGCTATGGATACTGATTGTGTATTTAATATGCATTCATGTTTTAAGAAAGTAAGCGGGCAGCTGATTTTGCGGCCCTAGGGATGTAAAAACCTGCTTCTGATTTTGCGGCCCTAGGGATGTAAAAATCTGCTCGGTCCCCAAATGACGACGACAGCTGACTTGGCCAGAAAAACGTAACTTTCAGCCACCAATTTACGTATGTTAAACAGCTAAAAACATTATAGTGTGGAGAAAAATATATTTCATCTAAGAAATATACAATATAAAATATATGATACCTTAACTAAATACATTTACTTCTTCCTCTAGACATAATAAATGGTGAAAGAATCATTTTCTGTAAAATCTTTGAGTTTGGGTTTTGTTGGGTTTATTTGTTTGTGGTCCCTCTGAACCCAAATTTTTTTTTTTTTTAATTTTGTCTGTTTGTCTGTTGTGTGTGTGGATATGTGTACAAAGCTATTAGTCCCACAGCTTGTCAAATATAATGGGTTTTGACTAGCTAATGAGAGAAAGTATGTGTCAGGTTTCTGATACTGGTAATTTTTTTATTTCTGGGATTTTGAGTTTGTAACAGTTTAACGGATAATAATCGTAAAGGTCATACTAAACTTATTTTTTATAATTTTCCAATGTAGAATTGGTTGTACGGTAGTAGCAATGTATTGATAGGGTAGTTGTGAAACTAAAAAACGTTCCAGATCCATGTGTTTACAATGTGGAGGGAAATATCGACAACATGCAAAGTTCGCGATAACAAAGGCTCGTAAACTTTCTTTTGTTTGTTCACCGGTTAACGCGATCACTTAGCGTTATTAGTATAGAAAAATACCCAACTGCAGTATACCTGCATTCTGAGCAAAGTCGATTTATTTAATATTCATACACATCAGGCCATAGAAAATATTATTGAGTAACAGCATTGACTATTGGATTAGTCAAAGGTAATAGTGCTTTCATCTCAACAATTCATACACAAACATTAAACAAACTAAATTGTACAG